GTTTCTCAGTGGACGAATTTCTACCACCACAATAACACAGAAGACAGAATTACATCGTCTTAAATGTCTCTACAAGTTTTCGGGTGTTCCCCTGTGTGTGTGTGTGTGTGTGTGTGTGTGTGTGTGTGTGTGTGTGTGTGTGTGTGTGTGTTTGAATTTTTTGGGGAGAGGGAATATATATGTTTATTGTATTCGTATGTAAATAATTCGTATACTGTATATATGGTATAAAAAAAATCGTGCCTGTCTGCCACGTGTGTATAAGTGTATATTATGTATTTTTTCGCCTTTTGGGTGACCTATATGTACTGTTAATGAATATGATCTATTTATTTGTGTATGAACCTCTGCCCTCCGTGACATTTAGAATTGATAGCACCCTCAGTGTCAAGACCTGACTGAATTACTCAGAATAGGCAAACTGTACTCAAAGCTTTGCCAAAAAATTTGTTAACCGTTAAAGTCTATGAAAATGATTCTTACAGGCCTGAAGAATGGTATACGGTGCACTTTAAACTAACCCTGTTTTAGGTACACAAAGGGGCCGGCACTGCACTCGGCCATCTTCACTTTGCTCAATTGTAATGTGATTGAGTTAATGATAAACGCAAGTAACTATCTAGAAAATCACTGGATCTAGTCGGTCACACTAGATTAGAATAACCCGTTATAGTACGTCTTTCTTTCCCCACACAGCCAAACTGTGGAATGCTCTGCTTTCTTCTGTTTCCATACCCATACAATGTCTCACTTTAAAAAGATGGTTTTCCGGCATCTTCGTGGTGTAGATTAATAAAAAAAATTAAGATCTACTTTTTATTTCTTTTTGCTCTTGTTTTTTCGCTCCCTAAGACCCGGTGTGGGTCGATGACCTGTGCCCGGGTGGGCTATTCCCCGTAAAGAAAAAATACAGAAAACGTGACCCTGATCTTCGACATGGGGGTAGCGACGACTTAATCGGTTTAGCGGAGACGTAGACTCCCAAGCACATACAAAAACAATACTGATATATAAAACTGACTTGAACATACCTGAAGTGGGATGTGTTGTGGTGTGTTACGGTCCCTCGAGGAGCTGTTAACTTTCACCTACCTGGAAAAAATAATCCGATTAACCTCCCATCCTCCTATACTCATAAAAAATTTCGTAAAGATTAAGAAGAAACTCGCCACTTATGCCGCATTGTATATTAAAAGGATCTCAAGGATGCATCTGGTTTAAAATAAAAATACTTCTTTGGTGGGAGAGGATTAAATAATGACTGATTAAGTGAACCGACAGTCCTACCTTTAGTAGGGTTCTTACGAGACGGCAACAGTTTGTCGACGATTAGCGACAGAAATCAACCAAACCGAACATATCACAAGATATGTAAGATTAGTTTGGTTTAGTTCGTGCTGTCTGTTATTATTAGTGATTTCAATCTCCAGCCTTCCTGGGGGAGTTTTGATGAGGTCATAAAGTTCTGAATGAAAATTGTATATTTCACATTGATACATGTTTTCTTTCTCTCCTATTAGATAGGCATCTATGGACTGTATTACAACAAAAGTGTCCGAAAAGTTCTGCCCTCCCCTCTTCACAACTAACAGGATCAACCATGATACTATTGATGTTTTTAGTTAACCCCCAAAATTAATTAAGATACTTGTCCTTCGTGTCATAAAAGGAGAAGTAGTGCTCACCCTATCCTGCCAGTTACACAAGGACCTGGTGGGACCCCCCAATCATAAAAGATGAGGAACATCCCTTCAGCAACACAAGGACCTGAAGGGACCCTCCAATAAACCCTAAAACAGCACATTCCCTTAGATCGCACGTTAAACCAGCTTAGCTTAGCTTATCTAACCTCCCTTGCCCCTGGAGGACTGAGGGACGTCTGTCACTGGTTAATCCACATACCAGCCTCCGCAAGGTGGAAAGCCCACCTGCTCTCATTCTCCTTCTGTACTTCCCACTTCTTAACTATACCTTGCCCTAAATCTCCTTGTTCACCTCAGAGTCACGGCTCTCTTATCTTGGTGTTCTGACTGACCTTGCCTGGTGGTAGAGTACGCCTTCATGGCGCCACCCGTCATGTCTTGGGCCGGGGATCATCCTACCTGTAACAACGTTCATGAATGAGGCTACAGTTCTGATTTCACTACTCTTATTATATACATCTTTATTGATATTTAAACCAAAATTCTATAAAGAGTAATACAAGAGAAAGTAGATACTTCTACTCTTCAACAAGGATCAATTCAGCTCATCAATATAACTTGACACAGCGAATACAAGAAATCATAATGGTCAGCACCCCAAATAATAATTACTGACAAACCATTTTCCGGTGGTGATTCTTTTTCATTTCATATGCAGTATTTTCCTATGACATTTTCTTTAAGCGAGTGATGCCAAATACTTGTATGTGTTATCTAACCAAACCTTACCAGAGAAACCAGAAGGAACTGACTTAACCTCCTATCCAGAGTAGCTCCGCTTAACCCACCAATTACAAGACAAAAGAAGCAAGAAACCAAGAGCACCAAACCTAAAAAAATAAGAAAAACACAACAAATTTATATTTCCAATGATAAAGCTGTACAGAATTATTTGTTTTGTTTTATCTCCCTCTATACAAATAATGATAAAGTTCCATGGTTGTCCTTTTCCGAATCTTAACGCAAACGTTTATCAACGACCGGATTGTTATAGTGATAATGTAATGCAGATTTATCCGGGAAGGTTAGGTTAGGTTAGGTTAGGTTAGGTCATCTTATGTTTCTGAGTCCATATTTATAGTGAAAATGTGTAAATACAAAATAACCGTGGTATTTTTTTTTAATTGTATGCATGTAACTCTACACAAAGTGATACAGTTGTTATTACAGTAAATGTTCAAAGCTCCCTCTCGCTGCCTCTGTATCACTTTGTAGAGGTAAATACTTGCCAAAAATTACACAAGAATCTAAGTTCGTTCACTCCAGCCTAACTGTCCTTACCTTTCAAGTGCTACGAACCTGATCTGACCCACCTAACTAAAAAGTTATGGTTAGGTTAGGTTAGGTTAGATTAGGTTTCCTTGGTTCGATACTAAAAATATGCAAGGTTTCCCTCCAAACTGTTCAAGTGAGTTAAACAGCTTATATCTGATGCCCAATTGTTTTTAAACTCCAGTTTAAAGTGCTGTATATTTCTTCTCTCACGCGCCAACTGACAATGTAAACATGAAATGGAGTGAGGTGTATCATTCTTCAATAAAATATGCTTGAAGCGTATTTAAAACAATTTTACCTGCTGTAAGGAAACTTCTAGTCCAATGTTTTCAGTGCCAGAGGGTGGACCCACACGCCATATTGTAAACACAGGCAACAAATTCATAGCTTATTTCCCTTTTAACTATAACAGTAAGATTTGACAAATGTTATTTGTGTTTTTTCGTGGAGTCATTGGTGAGAGTTTTTTGTTTAGGGGAATAAGGTAATGTTATATAGTTTTAGCAGTTGGTTCCTATGGGTTGCGTGACTTCAGTCAGATCCGGCACAACTACATCCTCACTGTGTAGCCTATTGTACATCCTTATATTTAACACATTAACCTTAACAAATACAACCCGTATTGACCATCACTTACCTCTTGATTTTATATTCTCCCACCAACGATAACACAGGCCCGCTTCACGCCGAGCATTCTAGAATTCTTCATATGACACTGGATTACTTCACCCGACTCGCGCCTATCAGACTGATAGGCGTTGGAAGCGCCTCTGATTATTTTAGTCAGGTATGTATTTTAAGCATTTTTTGGATTTTTACAAATAATATAATATTGTATTAAACCATATAATATTATACCTAAAACATTTTAAATATATATACTCACTACTGTATTTTATCATTCTTTACTTGAAATTGGCTCATACACACTTCTCTCATTAAACATATCCATTACCAGTGAGGCACAAAAAGTTAAGCCACAGTGACAGGCGAAGATTGTTAAATGAGTGTGTTTACAAATCCCTTGACTATAACATCCATTACGGTATTACATTCTTCTGAATTTAGATTATTGTATGTTCAGCTTGCTTCTCTTCGTGTCGTGTTAAACCGTGACACACTGTGGTAGAAGTGGTAGCTGTCATTTGAGGGTTAACGGTGTAAGATTTCCTGGTCGTCAACACCAGGAACATTACTTACAGCTGAAACATCTATTCTGGGCATTCTAAGTTGTGGGTCTTTATAATTATGAGTGTGGCTCATCTTGACGGAAGTGAAGATTGTTCTTTGGTGAACTGAAAAATGCGAATGTCACTTGGTTTTAGGTGTGTAAAACTAAACAAAAATTGTTTCTCTTCTCTTTCATCATCAATGTAACGTACCAAAAAACAGGAAGGAAGCTTAACCCTTTCCCGCCAATTGTCGCACTTTAAAATTTCATTCTGCATACCACCAGACAATTTTATACAGCTTAGAGAAAACCTCAGGAGCTAACGGTTAAAAACATATCTTGATTAATAACTACTTATGATGTTATCACATTAGGCCTATGGATGGTGTACAGTATACGTCTAGAGACGACTGTCCCCGAACTCCTCTCGCCGCCCGAGCCATCCTCACGTGATTGTAGTCACGTGACAAATCTATTTGACAAGTTTCATACGTATCTTATCTAATTGTTTTATACTCATAAAATATATAATGTATATTATTTATGAACTGAAGTGGTTTTTCGTTTAAATATTCTCCATAATGAATTATTTATTAATATTTATATATGGAAGTCATTTAGCGGTGACGCGGCACGTGTAACAGATTGGAAGCGTTACTCAGCTGCCAGACGTAAGATGCAACCACCACTTGAGTAGGTTGTCCAACTGATTTTCTTTGGTAATGGACAACTAATAAAATGTAATCAACTGCATTAAATCAAAACTATTAGTTATATTTTGTCGAAAAATATAATGAGAACAAGGATTTTATAGCTATCAAGCATGCGTGTTGCAGCCAGGACTGAGGCAGCAGCTAGGTGGAGTCTCATGTTCCTCGAAACACCTAGTAGTGCAGTGTGTGAAGCAATGGCAGCTAGGGACGCTTACAATTCAGGCCTTAGTTGTTAATGTGTCTGTTTCTTGTGCGCTGGAAATATCACAGTTCCAATAGTGGATGGCAGAGATATTGTAAGTATGTTGTGTTTGGCATACGCTTTCTCTTATTCAAATAGCACTAAGATTCAGTAATACTTAAATTCTTTTCAAGGTCATCTGCGATAAATTGTTAGGAATGACCTATACAAACGTTCATTAGAAGTATTATCATGATATTACATAAAATATGTACATGAGAGTGGTTCTATTATCAAATGTTTTAGTAGTTAATAAAATAAGGTAGTGTATCTGCTTGTCAGTTTGCGTTCACTCGACTGATTAAAGTTATTTTTGGTATGCATGGTAACGTGGATAATACATAAAAGTATTGAATGATTTATTTAATTTTGAGTTTGTTTCATCATTTACATAAATTATAACTGAACGGCGAAGAAAACTTTTATTTGTTTCATTTTTGAAAGAGTGGGGGGATGGCAAGCGACATTTAACCCTGACCAGTTTCCGTACGTCATGTTACTCTCTGACTCCTGCCCCCAAGGTCCTGGGTGCCTGCGCCAACGCCCGTACCTTAATAATTCTCTCTCTTTCTCTTTTTCTCGCAGTATGGCTGCTTAGCTACTTATTAAACTGAGTTGGACCGGGTGAGAGTGACTTTATTGCCAACTTCGGTACAGAACCGTTTTATATATATATATATATATATATATATATATATATATTCCTCAACACGGCACCTTTAACTTTGAGACACCAAGCGTACGACTGCTCTACCAAATCGTTTAGATACTTTACATTACAACGCAAAGAACATCCAAACACTATATAACTGATATTACCTTTAAGATTTTAGACCGGTATGGGGGTTTAGTAATTAAAACGAAGATATGCTGAGACTTCCAAACTGTAAATTAATTACGAGTAGTGTTTTAATAAATGTTAATTTAATGGACGTGCATTTAATATTGTACTGACAATTCCGTCACCTCTTCAAGTGCTTAGAATAAACTTGTAGGCGCACGGATTTAGTGGTGTACGTAGTGTACAAAATTTACCTCGAGCTTAAAGGTGAAATTTTACTATTTGTTGCGACTACGTTCTTATCTCCCAATAGGATTTTTTATTTACTTTATGCATTATACCAAACCTCTGAAATTTTGGATCGACTGGTGAAATACGAAGTCCATGCTGAAAAGTAGATAATGAGCGTGTTCTGTCATAAATGTGATATATTACCAGGAAAGTCATTGTCTCTGCTGTCTTGTTTTTGTCCTTAAAATTAGTTGTTTGGGTAAACTCAAGATTTCCGAATCTCGTCTACACTAGGCATATCCTCCCCTCCCCCACACCGGGCTTAACATAACCAAATAAGGTGTTGCACTACCAATTCATAACTGCTTGTTCCATGTACACTGTGACCGTTATGAACAACAAGCTCAAAATAACCAGAACTCACACGCTTTTATACTTCATTATCGGATTTATATTTTATCGCACGCTGCAACTCACTGCACATGAATAATTTGACCAAATCGGCCTTTTAATATTGACAAGGAATATGAACCACGTTTAGCTTGAAATGAATAGGTAGGTGTTTTTTTTAATGTCGCCGTGAAAGTGAGAAGAAATTTGATTTGGGCGTATTTTGTTTTCGCTTATTAAAGAGATGTAATATGAATTTGGTTTGTAGATTTGTCACGAGGAAGTCCCGATCCAATATGATTTTCGACGCATTTTGCGATTTCACGAAATATGCTCTTTTTTTATATTTCCGATCCCACCCAGTAAGAGAACGATAGTGAGGATTTAATTTGCAGTTGATAAGCGTTATGTCATAAGAACACATACAGTGTAGAGTCTGGTCATGGTTACACTTTATTGATTGAGTCAGTAGCTGGTGCCCTTTTAATTTTTGTTTTTGGTCGTTCGAGTTTTGACGGTGAGTAACTTCAGTAAGCATGCTTATAACGTTTTATTGTTAGCATTAAAGATGTTGACCATATATTTATTATGGTTGATTGTTTATTTCGGAACTTGAAAAATATTTGCCTTATGGTACTGGATAAAGTTAGTTTCATTTCCAAATAAAGGTAAACAATAAGTACACTGTTGGTACGTATGATAAGCTTTCAAGTTTACTCGTACGTAAAAGACTATAAGGTGATATTTTGTAATAAATTTATTCAAATTTCTTTATTTCAGATGTTGCAGCTCTTCATACATTTACTGTACGTGACTTAAAATTGCTGAGTGGCCGTAAAATTGCTTGCTATCAGACTACCCCCAGCCACCAGTGTTAATTATGAAAAATTGTGGTGTTATAATGTAAATACGGAGCATTACATAATCTGCATATATTCATATGTAGATCAAAAATAAATAAACTACGGGGATTCATGTCAGACAAATGTAAAATACATTTCTGGACTCATAAACAAGTGCAATGTTAGAAACTTGGCACAATGGAAACACTCGTAGAAATACTGTTGCCAAAAATCTTTGAAGATGTTTGGAACCTAGATACCCCATTGGAACCTGAGGCGGTGATGTTTACAGACTACCGCTACTACATTAACACAATGCAGATGTGTAAACCTCAGAGGCTTGTCCAAGCGCCACGGAAACCCAGGTAAGTTGTTAATGTAATAACCCAAATCATCACACTTTAGGTATGCTCATAAGTGACGGGTAGCTGCACATGAATTGTAATTTAGATATTGCTTGCTTCAGTACACCTGTTTTGCGTGTTACAAACATGTATAATATATGCAGTCACTGTTATTTAACAATCACCCACAAATTTTGTACATCCAATCATCAGACACAAATAAACACGTCTTTTACACAAGCCTTCTGTATTCACATGTCAAGTACTGAGGTGTATGTACTTGTAGATATACGCAACCTGTAGGTGTACATCCACTAAAAAATTATTCGGCACCCGTGTCATATTGTATCACGTCGTAAGGGTGCCGAATAATTTTTTAGTGGGTTTACATGTTTATATAAATGCTCACGACCACACAGGTGTACATAGTCATACAGGTGTACACACAATAAAACAATATTCGGCACCCTTACGGCGTGATACAATATGACACGGGTGCCGAATAATATTTTAGTGGGTGTACTTTAAATAACGCGAATGTAAGCAGGCGACCAAGAAAGTGTCGTAAATTGCCAGTGTGTGAGTCGCTACAAGTGTCAATAGTCATAAAACTCGTTAACTTCGTTTGTTGTACCAATTTGCCTCTATTTTTTAAAAGTTAATTATATGTTTCCGACACTTCATGGCCCACTGTATACTTTTGCTAATTATTTATTATACAGTTGTTAACTTTAAATTATTGTTAATATGATGTTGATGCGGCCCACAGGAGAGGTACATGGATTTCGTAACAACGCATACAGTGGTCTTACAAAGTCTGACTGCGAACGGTATTTTCCCTAAAATATGTTCATTTACTAAAAAAAATTGCAAGTCCTACATAAATACGTATCTGTAAGAACATTTAATTTTGTATTGACGTTAGAGAAAAAAAATTCCGTCCATGATTGCAAAAAGATTGTTCGTGATGGCATTCCTGGAGCAGCTCATGTTATTATTCTGCCCGCACAGGTTGGGCTTCTGTTCATAAAAAAAGAGAGAAGGCTTAGAAATGTATTTAAAAACATATGTTTATGGTGTGGCGGAGGACAACCAAGAGTAAGTAACGGCAGTAACGAGAGCCTTAAGTGGAATAAACGGTGAAGGTGAGGAAAATTAGCTTTTGTAAGATGTTGGACTTATTGGTGTACTGAAACAGCCCAAGACGTTTCGTATATACTCAAGGTGTAAACTCGTGATTTACACGTTTGGATTGCACTCCCCATTAAGCTGAATTGTGATATACGGTACTTTTAACACTGTCGGCGCAACAGAATGTGTGCACGTGCATTTTTAGAGTTAGTTATCACAAATAGCATCCGAGCGCATTTAGAGAAAAACAAATTAATCTATGACTCTCAACATGGATTTACAAAGGGAAAATCTCGTCTAACAAATCGGCTGACGTTTTTTAGGAAAGTCTTCGAGGTAGTAGATAATGACGAAAATTACGATGTTATTTACTTAGACTTTAGCAAAGCATTTGACAAAGTACCGCATCATCCATCATCACTACATATAACACCACCCATCATCACTACATATAACACCATCCATCATCACTACATATAACACCATCCATCATCACTACATATAACACCATCCATCATCACTACATATAACATCATCATCATCATAACACCACATTATCACTACATATAACACCACCCATCATCACTACATATAACACCACCCATCATCACTACATATAACACCACCCATTATCACTACATATAACACCATCCATCATCACTACATATAACATCATCCATCATCACTACATATAACACCACCCATCATCACTACATATAACACCATCCATCATCACTACATATAACACCACCCATCATCACTACATATAACACCACCCATCATCACTACATATAACACCACCCATTATCACTACATATAACATCATCCATCATCACTACATATAACACCATCCATCATCACTACATATAACACCTTCCATCATCACTACATATAACACCATCCATCATCACAACATATAACATCATCCATCATCACTACATTTAACACCATCCATCATCACTACATATAACACCATCCATCATCACTACATATAATACCATCCATCATCACTACAGATCGGTAAAGTAGTTTCCGAGATTCTCGTGCGGACACAGACAGGCAGACATATTTCTTTGTTTTATATATATATATATATATATATATATATATATATATATATATATATATATATATATATATATATATATGCTGATAACCACAAGGAAAGAAGAAAACACGAAGTTCCCAAGCGCTTTCGTGTAATTCACATCTTCAGGGGTGAGTACAGACTAGAGATAAGTACAAATCAAGGTGTATATATACAGAGGAGGGTGAGACCAGGTCTCACCCTCCTCTGTGACGGTATTGGCATGTACGAGTATTAACAAAATTGTCTGGCTTCGTCCGAGACATCTTGGTATTCCTAATGATCACGTACCCACGGTTGTCTGTCTGTGAATCTGTGACAGTCAAGGTTAGATTAGGTTGAAGTGGTTACCTGTGTCAGGAAGGGTAAACTGTGACAATTCGAGTTGTAAAACTGTATGATAAACGCAAAATACGGAACCAACCTTCCGAAATGTTTGTTTTCTCACGGGAACATTGTTATTGCACGTTAGGTGGTTTTAAAAACTACTGTATATAAAGCAGACTGGTCAATTAATCTTAAGAGAGAAATTTGGCCGTTAATAGTAGAGCAATTTGAGAATGTACAGTCTGGTTCAAGATTCTTCGAACTGCTGGAGACAGCTGGCAACTCAAGGCCGTTTGTTTACTATAGCACGAAGTATAATATAATACTAAACAACAATCCCTTCCATTTAATTAAGCAACGAGGAACTAAGTAACCAATCACTGATCACTTATTACGTACTATAGTAACAAACGGCCTTGTGTTGCCAGCTATCTCCAGCAGTGTTTGAAGAATCTTGAACGAGACTGTACAAGTTGTGAACAAGGTGTTCTTGTGTTTTGGCATGAATTTGAAATGAAAATACAGGTACATGCCAGACAGCTCAGCATAATGGCAGCAGTCATTAACATCACCCAACCTAAATCGAACATAAAACCTAAATATATGATTATGACATAACTAAAATCTTATTAATAAAATCTTAATTATAAGCTAAGACCCGAAACCGTTAAAAAATCAGAGGAAAGATCGTTTGGTTGAGCTTGTTCGTGAGTGTGAAAGCTTTTGGATGTGTAAAAATACTTTGAGAGTAAAAGCCTTACAATGTGTATCCTATAGGCCTAGAAAAAGACACGCCCCAATATACGAGAGGTTCATTATGAACATAAACTGCTAAGAGAAAGCATTGTACAGTATAAGGTCGTTCATGAGGACGTTAATGCTATGTAAAGTTAGCTTATATTTGTTTGAATTGACTAATTATTATATTTATATATTTGGGAAAATATCCAAAGTTCTCTGGCATCAGAAAACCTGTAAATTGTTTTAAGTGGTCTAATTTGTACTGTTATACACGTTGCCTCGGCTTTACGTGGTGTTATTGTAATCGTTACCAGGCCTTGATATGCGTTTATTTTTATTTTAGTAATTGAAGTTAGTGATGAGGATGGCCTGAAAATTGATGGTGACCATCTGAATGATCAATAGTTCCTGACTGTCATGGACTGGGAAATCTGCGAATTGGTGAAAAGTATCGTACCGCACTTTGGACCCATGGCCTCGAACGTCAACAGTGCCACTTGTGTTTGGCACTACTCACCTGTTGGTACGGTACTGAACAGCGAATATTATGTGAGAAATTGTATTATGGTACGAAAAAGAGTTCTTCATTTACTTTCCACATAGGACACGGCTCTATGTGAACACTGCAGTGAGTGACGCAGAGGAATGGTGAAAGTTTTGTCGTGTGAGTTCTTGTATTATTATTGACCTAATTTTCTCAATGCAGTAGATTTATTTTCCTTTTTTACCCAGTCTCTTCACAATGATAGTATTAAAACGTCTGCTCGTTATTCGTTTTTCCTCCTGGAATATTGGGGAAGATAATTATGATGATAAATCATTACATCCGTGTCGGTTTACCTTTAATAGCGCACTTAATAATGTACGTAGGTGCCAAGCACCGATCGGATAAAGTTTTGTTGTGTAAACATGCCAAGTGGACAAGTAGAGAAACGTACCAGCACCAACTTTTTACATGACACTCTGGACTTATTGTACCTTACTCGAATGATGGTGTTAGGGGTTCCGCATTAAACAGTTTGAGTAATATATATATATATATATATATATATATATATATATATATATATATATATATATATATATATATATATATATATATATATTGATAAAATCACACGGGAAAATGGAAACAACGGAGTACCTTAGCTTTCGTCTTTATTCAAGACATCTTCAGAGGCAACTGGATTACATGGACAGAGAGAGGCTTCCCATTGCTTGGGAAAAAAGCTTAGAAGTATTTAAATCATCTTGTGTCACAGAAAGACTTCTGGTTGAAGCTAGTTTGATTAAGGAATTAAAATCAATAAACCTTAGTGATGGTCAGTTCAAAACTGATAATATGTTACATAAATTTATTTGTCAGTGGCCCAAGGTTAAAAATGCTTTGAAAACCTTTGATCTAGATGTATGATAGTTATTTTGTGGGTCCCTTATTTTTGACCTGACCTGACTAGTCACGTCACCCCCCTCTTTAGCTCCTCTACATGTGTGTTGGTGTGGGGATTAGTGGATGACATCATTATGACCTGACCTCATGTTTTTAAGGTCACCCTGTATATTTAAGCCTCTCTCTGTCCATGTAATCCAGTTGCCTCTGAAGATGTCTTGAATAAAGACGAAAGGTGGTACCCATTTTCCCGTGTGATTTTATCAAGATTTATCTTATCCACGTTTCCATTGTGGATTTACATGAAATATATATATATATATATATATATATATATATATATAT